GACCAGAGACGAGGAGTGACCAGAGACGAGGAGTGACCCGAGTGTCTTTATGTCTGACATGTTTGTCTCTGTCCTGCAGAGTGAAGCAGCTTCTGTCGGCTCCGTCACACGTCTCAGTGATCTGATGTGAACGTGAGGCAGCTGGAGTCTCTTCCTGTTTCTGCTCCGAGGATAAAGACTGAGATGAATCCTGCAGCGTTCATGTTCCTCACGTTTGGAGGGAAGTCCCTCTGAGCCTCATCTTCTCTTCCTGCCTGTTTTTAAAAGATGAGAAGATTCAGACAGAGTGACATCGTCTCATCTTTCGGTCTCGAGACGTTAGAACCGAGTGAACGTTTGACGAAGTCGTCTTCGATAAGAGAGAAGATACAAGTTCAGTTCTGCGTCTGATGATAATAATGATAAGTAGCTTCAGATTCGTGCGATGGAGGTTAGCATCGCTCACCTGTAATGGATCACGATTATCGACCGGTCATTTGCTGCTCAACGTGAATAAAACTCCCATGATCCCACGCTGCATTACACTATCGTCAAGCTGGGTGTTCTGTTATTGTTTTAATTGAGCGACCCCTGGTGGCTCAGATCCGTATTGTAACACATTGTTTGTTTGTAACGAACACGAAACAACACAGAGACATTTTTGACTCCTCCTCTTCTTCCCTCCTCAGAATCGTCCTCTGGCGACCACGAGCTTCGACTCCTCCCCTCTCGCCGCTCCTTTCACCTCCCCCCACGTCTCCTCCCTCAGCACGCTGTGGACGAGTCCCGCCACCTCCATCTTCCTCATCATCATCATCTTCACCATCATCATCATCATCATCATCATCGCTTTCAGCACCGACTGGCCAAAGTGATGCCGGCCGCCCTGCTGGAGTCTCACTTTCGTGAGGAGCACGGCGGTCAGCGAGCCCTCAACCTGCTGGCACGGCCGCATCACGAGGTGCAGCCGGAGCACGCCGCCATCTCTGCACGGCATCTGGTTACCGTGGTGAGTAATCTGCCCCCTGATTGGTTGAGAAAGAAGAGACGCGTGTTTTGTCTTTTGTGAGTTGAGACTGAATCAACACAGGAACCTGGTCGATGTGGACTGAGTGTGAATATCAGGATTTTACAGTTAGATCGTAGATATTTTATGTTTTGATATTTAAGATCGATGACGATGGAAAACTGCTGCGTCGTCTGGGAGACGGACCCGAGGCTGGAGTCGATTAGTCTGAGGTTGTTTTTGTGCTTCAGTGTTTAAAGTTTCATTTCTGCTTCGTCATCTTCGTCAGAGATTAGAAATGTCTGGAGGAAGTCGTTTCCCTCCGAGGCTCGAAACCCTCCGAGGTCAGAGGTCGGAGCAAACAGACAGTAAGTGAATGATGGATGATGAGGAGCCGCAGACTCCGGCATCCACAGCGCTGGAGGAGAGATGCTGCGCTCCCTGTCTCCATGGAAACAGCAATCGTGTGTGTGTGTGTGTGTGTGTGACCCACTTACCTTCACAATGGGCGGTTACATAACTGTAAACAGCAGCGACCTTCAGACTGACATTGAGGCAGAGACAGATAGACAGGTACGAACTGGTTGTTAACGAGGGAGACGGAGGGAAGTGGTCGAGTGAGATCGAGATAAAAGGAGAGAGAGAGAAGGATGTCGCCCCTCGAAGGGAAAGACCAGAAGCTTCTCAACGTGTGATTCTGTTCTCACGTCGCAGAACAAACAGAAACAGTTTGATCAGCAACTGTTCTCAGAATCGATCTGGAAGCAGAAGCGTTCACCTGATGATTCTGATCGATTGAACACAAACGGCTGTTTGAAGACGTCACTTTGGTTTTTGTGAAATTTCAAATAATCCTAATTTTATAAGAGGAGAAACTTGTTTGAAGATTAGTCAGCATTAAAAATAATTAGCTGCCTCCTCAGGTTCAGGTCGCTGCTGGTGAACGTGTTGGATTAACGTAAACACGGTAACCACACGTCTCCTGTTCCGTGACACGTCGTTCATACACAACACAGAGACAGACGAGCGAGTACAAACGGAGGCAGGACACAGTCTGAGTCACAGACTTGGTTATTTTTAGTAGAAATGCAGCAGATTCTTGATTTAATTGTATATCGAAGCGTCTGAACTGTGAAGCTCTGCTGCCAACACTCCCACAGTCCTCTGCCAAGACCACCGGAGGGGCCGTCACCACAGATGCATTGTGGGAGTGGAGGCAATCTGGAGAAACCTCCGGTGGAAAGCAGCAGACAGACGAGTGTAGTGTCTCATCACTTCAGTTATTTCAGACCGTTGAGAGAGAAGTCAGTTCATCCAGAGAAGCGAGGACCAACTGTTGAGATGACGAGTTGTGTAGTTGGTGTTTGTGAAGCAGTGTCAGAGAGTTCAGGGTCCAGGGGTCGCTGCAGTGGGATAGAGGTCAAACCTGAACACCGCCTGGTGAATAAAACACTCACTTCACTTCGACCCACACAAACACAGCTGGAGTGCCGTGAAAAATTAATCAGGATTCTAAATTTGGTCTTTGTTGAATTCAGGAGGAGATAAGTTACCGAGCAGAGACACAGAACGTTTCTACAATAACTTCATGTTTGTAGTTTAGTGGTTAATGTGTGTTTATATAAATCTTCATGAAACTCGAAGCTCTTTACACTTCACCCACATTCACACTGTTAACATCATAGAACATGATATGATGCTAAATGTTAAATTCATCTCACCTCATGGAGCTTTCATGTCGTCCATCTTTGTACACAGTCACACAGGACGCCATGGCAACATGGACACCTCCGCCAGGCTCCGCTCTTGCCTTACGTAACCGTCTTTGTTAATTGACTTCCTGTGTGTGGTCACATGACTCGTCCCTTAAGGCCGCAGCCGTTCATCACATCACTGAGCAGATGATGCAGGAGGAGGAGGAGGAGGAGAGACGGTCGAGCCTCAGAGCACGAACACAGTCTGCAGATGAATGAACAGAGAGATGGAGGTTAATTCACAACCCTCGTCCTCGTCCTCAGTTATGACCGATGTTCTTTCATATCTGTCGTCCCAGATGGTGACAAGTCACTTCCCTGCGTGCGTGCGTGTGTGTGTGTGCGTGCGTGTGTGTGTGTGACCTCACTGAGCTGCACGGTTCACGTCAGCGCTCTGAGGAGAAGCTGCAGAACAGTGACTCTGCGACCACTTGGTCTTGTTATTCATGTGTTCATCGTCTCTGTGTCTGAGAGACGGGACAACATTCAGCCTTTCTGTCTCGTGACACTTTCATTGTCGTCCTCAGTAATTTAACTTTGACCATGAAATGAAAGTGGGTCACGTGTGAACAGATTCACTGTGACGTATGTAAATCCTCCTCCAGAGTGAAGCAGCTGTGAATCACAGATTCTTCATGTTTCCTTCAGTTTATCATCGTTAGTTTCCTACAAACATCTGATTCATCTGATTCTAGTTTGATCGAAGAGAGAATTTAAAATAACATTCAAATATTAAATCATTTTCAAAATATTGGACCATTGATTTTTTTTTTTTCTTGTCCATCTGTTGTTAACCCTTTAATTACCAGGTTTTTCTTTTTGTTGAATCAAAGTATTCATCCTGTACTTTTTAGCATTTTCATATTATTTATCTATAACACACACACACACACACACACACACACACACACACACACACACACACTGCCTCTCTCCTATCTGATTGGTCCAAATTGGATTCCCCATACTGCCCTGAGGGCTGCCGGCTAATTAGTGGTTGTTACCCTGTGTGTGTGTGTGCGTGTGTTTGTTTGTGTGTGTTTGTTTGTGTGTGTGTGTGTGTGTGTGTGGACAGAAATAGCACCTGATCCTGACAGGAAGCACAGCGCGATAATGGCATTACCTATCGTCTAACAGCCAATCATGTGTGTGTCATGTGAGCTGAGTCCTCTGAGCCAATCAGAGATCACGACTTGACTAGAGGGGGAAATGGAGCGGCGGTCCCTGAGCTGTGACTGACAGGCGGCCTGTCGCTCTGTGCGTCTGCTCATTGAGGGGAAATCTTCTGTAGGCGACAGGATCTACGATGTTTCCTTGGTGAGGTTGTGAGTTCAGATTCAGGGTTTGATTCTCTTCATTCACAGGCTGCAGTTGTTGGGTTGGATTGTTTCACATCATTCGGTCGATTGTTGATTTTATTTATTCGCAGGTTGTTTTGTTGTTTGGCTGAAAAGAATCTAAATGATCAGTTTTCTATTTATTGATTGAAATGTTTGTTCTTTGATTTATCTTGTTGCAACTTTGCAGAATTAGTGTTGAGGTTGTTGTTGTGATGGTGACGTGAGGGGCCGGACAAGGTTGTGTGTGTGTTTGTGTGTGGCTGTGGTTATTGGTCCTGATATTGAATTAAGGAGCAACAGAACATTTTGTTTTAGCCATTAGCGTGCGCACACACACACACACACACACACACACACACACGTTTGTTTTCTTTTAATGTTACATAAAGAAATAATCTGTTTTTCTGATAAACGTGTTTTTGTCTTCGGAGTGACACGAGAGAATCGATCTCTACTTTCGAACGCACCATTTATTCAGTTTTTTGTCATAATTCCAAAAAGTTAATATCACTAGAATGTTTTTTTCTACATTTCTTCATGGCTAAAATTAAATTTGCAAAACTGCAGATGTGCAGACTAGCAGAAAGCTGCCAACGTCTCTCTCTCTCTCTTTGTCTCTCTCTCTCTGTTAATGTGTTTGCTCCTCCGTCTCCTAGGTAACCGCGGCTCGTTAAGCTGCATCGTTAGTCCCCATGGAGACGGGCGGATGGAGAGCAGAGTGCTGCTGCTGAAAGTTTAATGGAACAGTTAGAGTGGGATCGATCCGCCCCAGGAGAAACACTTGATGTTAATGTTATTACTGAGAGAAGTGATGGTTCCTCTGTGAGGACAACGTTACTTAAACTGATCAGGTTTCTGTTTTCAGAACTGACTGAGGTGTCACGATGTGCACGAACAAAAACACAACGTGTAAACTGCTGCATCACATTCTCCGTCTCCTTCTTCAGCTCATCGTGTTGTTTGATGCTGGTGTTGATCCATGTCCAGTTTTTATCTGGGTTTCAGCAAGAAACTGCATTTGATTGCTTCTGTCATTACGTCAGACTCAGTGTGCGTCCACTTGTTGAAGAGCTCTGGCTCAGGGAGACGTCTTTCCTCCATTGACCTTTCATCAAATCCTTATCAAGAGTTTTAAAGGTGATTAAAAGAATCCTGACGATCCTGAAACCAGATTAATGATTTAACATCTTGTGTCTCTGCAGAAAAACGTCCTGCAGGGGGAGCAGAGGGATCACGTGTGGACCCGAGAAGGTTTTTACACCGTCGTCCTCTTCTTCACCATCTTCGTCATCGTCATCACCTGCTTGATGGTAAATCACATTTCACACACAGGAACAAATGTTTACTCGTGAGGACGTCCACAGATCAGCATAATCCCTGACATGTTAAACGTCTCTAAACCTTTCACCTCGGCCGCTCTAATAGGCTGAGACCGCTAACCGCCTTCAATCTGTGTCCGTGGTCAAAGGTCACCTCGTCCTGACGCACGCACACACACACACGCACACACACACACACACTCCTCTGCTGTTGTGGCACTAACAAAAGATTTGTTTCTCTTCAGGGGCCAGAGAGAGAATCACATCAAAAATTATTTAAAATTTAAAAATCCAACCGAAATATAAATAAAAAAGAATAGATGGCATCAATTAAAGAATCAATTTGTTTTTTCCTTCAGTTGCAGCGCTGCAGGTCCTCCACACGAGGGAAACCTCAGCTATATTTACATTCATTTATTTATATATGTGTTTATATATAATCTGGAGGAAACTCAGTTTGACGTCTTTTCGCTCTTCACAGATTTAAATCTTTTGTTTTTCTATTTGTAAAGTGAATTCTCTGGATTATTAAAATGATCTTCTCTCTTCTTCTCTTGTCTTCTCTCTTCTTCTCTTCTCTCTTCTTCTCTTCTCTTGTCTTCTCTCTTCTTCTCTTGTCTTCTCTCTTCTTCTCTTCTCTCTTCTTCTCTTCTCTTCTCTTTTCTTCTCTCTCAGGTTTTGTTTCGACTGAAGGAGAAGGTTCAGGTTTCTGACACAGAACTGAAAGCTCCGCCCTCTGATCTCCACCTGACGCTCACAATTTCCCCAGACTCCGCCCTCAGGTCAAAGGGCACAAAGGTCAGCATCCGACAACAAACCTTTTATTTTTGTGTATTTCGTAGGGACGACGTTAATGAACATCGGTAAGAAATGCAAAATATAAACATGTTTAATTTAGAGCATTAGTATCAAGAACGCTCTTTTACGTTTGTCCCGAAACTAAAAAACAAACTTGACAGGTTCAAACAAACGATGACTCATTAATGCGTCTCCAGGTCGTCACATCAGGAAGCATGGTCCAAGCTGAGCTCCCTCCAGCTTTCGCCACGCCCATTCTCCAGCAGCAGCCAATCACAGCCTGCCCCCGCCTCGCCGCGCCTGTCGTCCCTGTGCCCAGGTAACTTTAACGGACCGATGTTTCCCACAATTCACCTGAAAATATCTCTTACCTTCACTTCTTCTCCTAGTCCTGCCCCTGCCACTGTCGTCATCAGCAACGGCCGCGCCCCTCCTGCCAGCGTAGCCCCGGTGACAGCCAATAACGAGCTGAGGCCCTGCCCCTCCCCCTTCAGGATGAAACCTGCGGCTGGACTTCAAGAAAGGTAAGAGGGGCGGGGTTTATACAGGTGACACTGTGAGAGGTGGGTTACACAGGTAAACGCCCACTTTTATATCAGTCACATTTCTGCACCGCTCTAACTTGTTGGTATTTTCTGTAACTAAGCAACAGAGAGACGATCGACATCCTGTTTACCCCGAGACGTCAAGTGTAGAAGCCTTTGTGTGTGAATTCAAATCCAACAACAGCGTTTGCTGTCACCTGACGAGCGTCCTGATTGTTCACCTCGTTTACCGTGTGTGTGTGTGTGCGTGTGTGTGTGTTGTGTAACCTGTGATTGTCGGAGGAGTCAGGTGTTCAGCTGCGTACGTGCCGATGAGGAGGCTTCAGACAAAGGTGTGTGTGTGTAGTTCAGAAATATCAACACTTGAGGTTTACATTCAGTCCGACTTCCTCCATAAAGAATGTATACTGTGTGTGTGTGTGTCCGTCCTCTGGGTGGTGTTTACATGAATGGAGGCGTCTTATTGGACACCTGTCCTCTGTGTCCTCATCGTGTGACCCTCAGATTTATCACATGATGTTTTGACTAAATCTATTTTAATGTTGATCAGTTAGTCAGAAGGTTTAAATCTGCTTTGATCAAGTTTCCTGGTTGTTCAAACGTTTGACGTGTTTATTTGTGACGTCGTGCTCGACTGTGAGAAAGTTCGATGTCGTTAAATCAGACCGACCTCATTTTTCAGATGGGCTCAGACTAATCACTGGAATATTTCTGTGCTGCTGGTGTCGCTGCTCATTAGTTACATAACCAAGAAGAAAAACATCTTTATCTGGGTCCGCTCGGCGTGGAGCACTTTAGCCTTTATCTGCTGCTCGTCACTCTTCCGCTAACGTGCGGCGCGTCCGCTTGCTTGGACCTCGGAGGCCATTTTGTTCTGGTTACTTCAGAGCGAGGTGTTGAAGTGCAGAGCACGATCTGTGTTTCTTAAGGTGAGACAGGGAAGAAGATTTCAGGCTCAGAGTGAGAACAGGATGTTTTTCTTGTTGTCTATGTCTCGTGTGTGTTTGTGTGTGTGTGTGTGTGTGTGT